AACAACAGAGGAGTGCAGAATGGGACCCCAGAAGTGGGGGGATGTTTTGAAACACGAGAATATGAAACACGGGGTAGTCTCCCTTGGAGGCGGAGATGAGTAACTGCCATAGCATAAGGGAGACCTGCCTATATGAGGCAACGGATTTCACGTTCATTTAAGTAGACCTGGCAACGGCGGGAGTACGAAGGGTGAGCTTCATTACAATTAAGGCAAGATGGAGGTTGACTGCAAGATGTATTAGAATGGTCGTCGGCACCACAGACTGGGCATTCGGCTATAGATCTGCAATATTTCGCTGGGTGACCAAAACGCCAGCAATTACTACACTGTTGCTGTGTAGGTATCACCTTTCGAACTTGTAACTGATGTCCCACGACATATACAGAGGACGGGAGTTCTCGGCTGTCAAAAGTTAAATGAGGCACATTGCAAGGGTAACATCTCCGCCCACGGGTAGGAAGGACATAAGTGTCTACTTTGAGGATTGGGAGATCCTGGAGTTCCAGGTTCAAGAATGTCATTGCCACATGACGAAATTCTGTTGGACTATGGTATGGGGCAGAATGACAGTACCACTAAAGAATTGAGAGAAAGATGTTTTTCAATAGTGATAGGAGTAGTATCGATATTCGAAAGGAGAGAAAGATCATGAGCTTGGGTAGCATTCTGGACAGTGACGATGCGCATACCGCTCTTGAGAACATGAAATGAAATATCTCTACCAACATGACTCAGGAGCGCTTTGCCAATACTATGGTCAGAAAGATAGGCAGAAGAAGAAGTCAGTCTTTAAGTAAAGAATTTAGTCCATTGAGTGGTCCGAAACTGAGCGTGGAGAGGGAGTGCATGACATGTCAGTCTTTTCCGAGTAGAATGGGAAGGTAACGAAGGAGCATCATCAGGAGATTGACGTTGGCGTTTAGGAGTAGGACCGGAGTTGGTCCGGCGTGAAATGGGCTGGCGATTCGAAAATTGCCGTACCGTAGAGGGAGAAGCCGGAAGCATAGTCAAAGGAGAGACAAATCGAAGGAGTCAGTCGAAGCCCCGGTATACCTGAAGCGGGTGAGGAAACAGCACCAGCAAGAGGTACAGGGGTATCAGGAGTGTCCGAAGAGTGGTCTAAAAACAAGGCAGGGTCAGAATGGGGTGCAGTATCAAGAAGGGGCCCGGGGGTAGTGGGTTCATGGATTGGGTTCTCCATGGTTAGGTTACTCCTTTGCTTTTTGTTTTTAAGAAAAAAAAAGAAGAAAATAAAAAAAAGGGGGAGCGGGGAGGAATACTTCCCAGGAGGAATGAAAGGGCCGGAAATCTCCCTCTGCGCCCAAGAGAACCCAGCACCGCTAGGAGCTCAGATGCAGCATGGAACCCGTGCCATACCCTACCCTTCATACCAGCAATCCTGGATAGCAACCTCACATCTGCCGAGCTACCTCGGTGGACAAAAGAGAGGGCGGCCGGATATCTGCCACAAAGCATACCTCCTTCGGCCACCACCCCTGGAATCCGAAAGGTGGCTTCCAGAGATACACCCGTCACCCGAAAGACACCCAAAGCTACTCCAGGATACCGGAGAGGGATCGGGACATCCCCAGGTGATCCAGATTCCAAGGCAAACTACACCACCGCCAAGAACCTCAACGGAATGGGATGGACCCCGGTATCCTTTCCCCTACCTAGGAACTAGCATGCCTGTGGGAGAAATCCCAAAGGCCAAAAAGAGGAAGGGCAAAAGGAAGGGGTGGGGAGGAGGAGGAGGAAAGGAAAAAGGGGAGGATGGGATAGGGAGGGGGGGGATTGGGGGGTAATTAGGTTCGGTCTGAGGAAAGAGACCGACAGGTCTGATTCCTCAGACCAAGAGCCTCTTCACCACAACAAGGAGCCCCCCCTTGAAGAGGTGAGGAATGGGAGACATTGATACGATGAGGGGGGAAAAAAAAAAGGCGGGGGAGGGAGAGACTTTGGGGGTCTACAGTGCCTGCTGAAATGTTAATCAGGGTCACTCCACTAAACATGTATGGGTCTCAATAAGGGCTACACTTATAAGGGGTCTACAAACTGTCAATGAGTGTGACAGCACTTGAGCAATGGGAGATAATTAGGGTTAAAGAAAAATAATCCCATTTGATGAAAAAACCTTAAAGGACACAAGTGCAACTAATATGACATTTATTGTGGCAACGTTTCGCTCTCCAGGAGCTTTATCAAGCCATTACAAACAATACATGGAAACAGAGGGTATATAAAGGCTCAGAGTGAGGTGCAATACTAGTGAGGTAACATTTCGATGTTCACTAGTTGTAGTATTGCACCTCACTCTGAGCCTTTATATACCCTCTGTGTCCATGTATTGTTTGTAATGGCTTGATAAAGCTCCTGGAGAGCGAAACGTTGCCACAATAAATGTCATATTAGTTGCACTTGTGTCCTTTTACTTTACATATTGTCAGTAATAATACCAACTTTATTACAAAAAAACCTTCACCACCTATCCACTAGGGGCTCAGATCAAGAACCCTTCACCAGAATAAAAGGTATTAGTGATAAAGGGCTCTCGACCAGAGGAATTTTACTTTTCCTTTCTCAGTTTGAACCCGTGTAGAGGTGCAGTATGACTCCTATGTTGATTACAGTACAGCCTATAAGAGGCTGTACTGTAATCCATATTTATCACTTTTGGTTATTGCAGCCACCCATAATAAGGTACACTCGGCAGTCTACAATGAACAGCGGAGTCGAGAGTACTCGTCGGACTGTCACTTTCTTGGACCATGGTGGGGCACTCTACATCAATGGCTATACCCCAGGACGAGAGCACTACCCTGCCCCACCCTCACGTTCTCCCTCACCCTCAACCATCTCCAAGGTCAGTCTCATCAGGCTTTATTTTGAAAGTACAGTGGACCCCCGGTTAACGAACTTTTTTCATTCCAGTAGTATGTTCAGGTGCCAGTACTGACTGAATTTTTTCCCATAAGGAATATTGTGAAGTAGATTAGTCCATTTCAGACCCCCAAACATACACGTACAAACGCACTTACATAAATACACTTACATAATTGGTCGCATTTGGAGGTGATCGTTAAGCGGGGGTCCACTGTACTAATTCTGTAGATTATTCATGGGAAGGGGTCATGCCATCCCTGATAAATGGTGATAATTCGGGTTAATCCAACAGAAGGGCAGATCCAATTCCTTCAATCAAGAGCCCTTCCCCATTATCACAGGGAGCACTAAACCAATAGGGATTATACAGCACCTGGGGGGTGAAGGGAGATGGAAGGCATTCAGACTTTATTCTGGGAAGTGAGGCACAAAACCAAATGAGGCATTCACCATCATTAAAGCATTTTGCTTTTACCCAATCTAATGAAGGGGAGAGTAGCTAGCACCTTCAGAGCTCTTCCCCTCCATCACCAAACCTTCCTTTAAGTATCCAGCTTAGTTACTTCTGGAAACTACTCTGGATGTAGTGTGCATGGTACTTCATGAACATGCTTCACTTGGCAAATTAACCTTAGTAATGCTTGCCAACACATCAGTTCCTCCAGATAAATGGGAACATTTGCCATGCACATTACATTCATGGAGAAACCCTAAACCCAAATGGATAATAAAGCTCTGTCTGGATATTCAGATCAATACATAAATACAAAATTATATACACATGCACCTAAAGACTTCAATTACAAGAAAACACTAATAAACTAAGCTTTTTACCAAGCTTTCACTAAGGTTTTACAAGATATTTTCAAAATGTGCCAGGTACTTGGGTAATAGACAAAATCTGACAGTACATTATCTTGAAAGGGTAAAAAAAAAAAAATTACATAAATGGAAATTAAGTACAGTGGAACCTCAGTCATCATTTTCCCTGGTTTTTGTCGAATTCGGTTTTCGACGAGTTTGTCAAAATTTTGTCCCGGTTTTCATTCACGACCTCGGTTTTTGTCAGTCCACTGTACCACACAAAGCATCCCACACCTTCCGAGTCAGTCTGGCTTTGTTTCTCGAGTAAACATTACCCTGCACGTTCATCCGAAACACTTCGTAATAACCCATTGTTTTTTGTGTCACTGCTAAATAAGCAACCATGGGACCAAAGAAAGTTCTGAGTGCCAGCCCTTTGATAAAGAAGGCGAGAAACACCACAGAATTCAAGAAATAACTTGTAGCAAAGTACGAAAGCGTCGTACATGTGGTTGATCTCGCCAGGATGTACAGGAAGTCTTCATCAACGATCAGTTCCATCCTGATGAAGGAAAAAGAAATCTAGGAATCTGATGATGCAAAAAGGGTAAATGTGCTAACGAAACAGAGATCACAAACAATCGAATATGTTGAAAAGTTGTTGGTGTGGATCAACGAAAAAGTTTGCGGGAGATAGTGTTGTGGAGGCGGTGATTTGTGAAAAGGCAAGGCAGTTGCATGCAGATCTCAAAAGAAATGCCTGAAATGAGTTGGACAACCACAGGGAAGAGCTAACCACTGAAGAGCTGTAACACCTCCAACTGGAGCAGTAACAGACCACAGCTGAGGAAATTGCTTCAGAGGAGGAGAGGGGAGAATGTGCCTTCTTCAGTGATTAAGGGCGTGTGCAAAGAGGAGTTAATTGCAAAGTTTTGTGGAGAAATATCACCCTGACAAAGCTATTGCAAGCAATGTCTGCAACATGTTCAATGACAATGCCTTGTCCCATTTTAGGCAAATCTTAGAGATGCCAGAAACAGCAAAGGAGGGAAGTAACCCCAGATAGGGACTTGATACCTAAAGTCCTTATGAAGGGGGATTCCCTTTCCAACCAATAACCTCTCCTCCCCCCCTCTCCCCTCCTTGCATCTTCCATATGCCAACAAGTCTTCAGTAAAGGTAAAAGTGATATTAAATGTTCATTTATCCATTTCATTAGTCCTTATATTTCTCATTGTTTTCTGTATGTAAAACTAGAGTTATTCTCTATAAAATGTATTTTTTGTTAATACTTTTGAGTGTCTGGAACGGATTAATTGGATTTACATTACTTGTGGAAAGTATCGTTTCAGTTTTCGTTGTATTCGGTTTTTGTCAGACTTTCTGGAATGAATGACGAAAACTGAGGTTCCACTGTATTCGAACAAACCAATAGTATATAATAAAGAACTTTGTCTCATTTATTTTACTCCCATGTTCTAATTGACAAACCTAACACTGGCATTATCAGTAAGTGCTAAACTTGAAGGGGTCATACGTACCAAGTCTGGAGAATGGGAAGCAACTGGGTTGAATATAATGAAGGACAGATCCAATTCATTGGATCAAGGGTTCTTCAACAAGGCATCTCTACTGAAGGGCCTAAAGCTGGTAAACATGTTGAATTACTATTATAAAACACCTACACTAGCCAAATACAGTGTCACTAAAGTATGGAAGCCCTTTTAAAACCACAATTACAAAATAGGGCATCCCTTGCACTTTAGAACCTACTTCAAAGATTATTCAGTGTTTCATGGGGTAAATTAACCTATGACTTACAGATGGCATCTTAAAGTTATGGGAGTGGGCTGATATCCATTCCCTAGCAGATCTTTGTCACAGCTCAAAGGTTCTCAATGGGGTTCAAGCCTGGCTCGTCAAAGGATAACTCTCAGGCACAAGCCACTGGACAAATTTCCTAGTATGGCAAGGAGCATAAAACCTTGCAAGATTAACCTGTATAGTCCTTGTGGCTTAGCGCTTCTTTTTGATTATAATAATAATAATTGCAAGATTAACATTAGTGGGGACCTTTATCAAGGCTTCCCTGGATGTGCTTCTGATGCAATGTCATCAACACTGTTCTCGAGGCACCAGTGCAACTAGGACTTCACTTTTTGCTCACACACACACACAGGTGCCTTCTATATCCTTTGATGGCCTGCCTTATGTAATCCAATCATCTCCATCTATTACACAAGCATAGGCTTGTAAGATGCAGTCAGTAACCTTACGAAATCCTGAGACTTTCTACTTCAACTGCCAAAGCCAGCATAACTGTCTTATTGACAAGTCTTCTAGGGTTAGGTATTACACTTTGTGAGGGGCTCTTGATTTAGGGAATTGGATCTGTGCTCCAGTTCCCCGAATTAAGCCTGAATGCCTTCCACATCCCCCCCCCCAGGCACTGTATAATCCTCCGGGTTTAGCGCTTCCCCCTTGATTATAATAATAATAATTACACTTTGTACACTGAATTACACTGGGAGCTTTCCACATGGTATATTTTAATGACTAGCACTGTATATGTATGGGAAAGTTTTAAAATGTAGGGAGGCATCATACAATATCTGGGAAAGGGAGAGTAGCTTACATGTCTTAAATCAAGAGTTCATCACCACTAAGGCACCCCTTGAAGTGGTTGCCTCAGTGATTGTATTCACTTGCTGTATTCGTGAGAAAGTGTTAAAAACTTGAGTTATTACAGCACCTCATGAATTGGAGGTAATCAAGTTTGATCAGTGGCTGGGAGCTCCAGTTCCTTGGGGCAAAAGACATTTGCCAGCAAGAATGCATTATCAAATCATACGAGGGAGGTGCATTTTATATAATTACTGAATAGATCATTCATAGAAACACAGACTGGCAGGTCTTTGTTACTGCAATCTGTCATTGTAACCCACTGCTGTTCCAGAACTGTGATAGCAGGTGTGAAAATCTGATTTGTAATCCCAGATACCTGTCACTTGGCATTCCATTGCTGTTTCAGGAATGTGGTAGTAGGTGTGAGGATCTGATTCGTTCTCCCAATTACTTGTCACCTGGTGATCCATTGCTCTCCCACAAGCCTGCAAGGAATAACAAGCCTCACGTCCAATTCATCACACGGAACAATGGTATGTTCTGTGTTTCAGCAGTTATGAGAAATAAACCACTATTTTTAAAAGTATAACACTCCAGCTGCTGGAGTGCTATACAATGCATCTGGTTGACTATTGTATAAAATATTCACTATTATTCATGAAGAAGCACTAAACCTTTAAGTCATACAGTGCTTTACTTCTTGCTAAACTGTATTAATTACATGCACCTGTAATTCATTCCCTTTTCTCTCTCTTGTCCCCACACTCCAGTCACTTCCATACCCGCACATCTCCCTTCTTTGCCTACCTTGGTATCCCACAAAGTTAATTAAACTGTTTACCTATGAAGCCAAGCCTTTCACCTCAGCTATCAAAGGGTTTAATTAAATTGTTAGATAAAAGTTTCCTAAAAAAAAAAAAAAATAATAGATCTTCAGTAAGACTCCTATTAAGCCACATTTACCTTCTGGTACAATCTTTGATGTCACTAAATCATGGCATTTATTCCAGAAGCAGAGATGGAGAAAACAGAGGTCACGAATGATACACTCCAGGCCACATCTCCAAACTCTGAAAACCCTAACGTCAGCCTTTCATGTGATCAAATGCCCACCTCTATCACTATATCCAGAGAGGTTCCATCACTTCCCTGCATCTCCACATCCAGAGGACCAGAAGCCACACCTCTCATTGAGCCAGTCTCACTGGAAGAGGTTAACAGGTATTAAATGTTAAAGTTAAAAATCCAGTGGTTTGGAAAATAATTCAACCAACTTGCATTTTGAAGATCAGCAGGTATGCTACCTACACACACACACAAAAAAAAAAAAAATCTAAGGATTTCAATTTCAGGCTAGTTCGCCTTGAATTAAAAAAATTAAGGTCCTTCATTAATCCCAGCTATTGCACTGAGGATGCATTGCAATTTCACTCCAAAACTAGTCCTACAGTAACATATAAAAGACACCAAATATGACTCTTCATCACTAATAGGGTTATTAACAACTCACTTTAAGGGAACTAATCAGATTATACTGGCGCCTGTGAGTTAGTGAAATGTTGGATAGGCAAGGCTTAATTCAGGATGAGCACTGATTCCAATTTCTAAAACGCTTGTCTCAAAATATCATAAAAGTAAAGCAACACATTTAAAAACTAGCTAATCACTTGGAAGGTGTACTGTAGGGTATTAACACTACGTCTTAGTGTGTAGTTAACTTCAAACATCAGCTGTTCTTAGTTGTCTAAAACGTGTCAAAAGTACATGAAAGTAAGCTTTAACATATGCTAAGACCTATGTATGTGCTGGAGTCTTAAAAGAAATAACATTACTGACGCACTTCAGTTAATTTCCCATCCCCTGATACAAAAGTGTACAACAGTACTGTTATATGATGATTCAGACAGTGATGCTTAAGCCACTGTTTAAAACTGAATTGGTCTTTCGAAAACCTTTAATTAAACCAATCACTTTAATGTGACAAATTGCAAGAGGTGCACAAGGTTAATAGGATCGGGCAAATTAATGCAAGCACTTAAACTAATTTAATATTTTTAAACCTTGGTTCTACAACCAAAGCAGATATTGTTTCCACTCTTCCAATGGCAACCAGCACATTGTAATGCTCCTTGGCATCATTTCACAATATTTTGTATTATTTATCATGCCCAAAATACTCTGCATACTTAGGGTTTTTTCATTAAATATGAAAGTTTTTCTTTTTCGGGCCACCCTGCCTTGGTGGGAATCGGCCAGTGTGCTAATAAAAAAATAACTAATAATGTATAACATACCACACACAACAATTGTATACTTTATTTACTGGAAATTAGCCTTTTTTCACTAGTACATGTATATCTTGAGTACAGTAATCTAGCCCATCCAAGCACCGTGTATAGTGAATGATAGGTTTCCAATCAAGCCACAAGGAATGGTGGGGGTAATTGGGGATTCTACTGGTATATTCACTACCATAGCTTCCAGAGACATCACGAAAGATGTCATCTCAGGATTATTCTTAAGAGATCTAAAAATCTGTAGCCCCCCCAACACTTTAACAAAGTAAAGAGATTTCTTGCACATTTGATTCTGTCAACTAGGATACCCAGACTGATTTATACAACCAGGTGTACCCAAAGCCAACAAAAATTTCTACAAGAAATGACCTACACAGAACGCTATGAATACTTCAACCATTCCATACCATAAAAAAGCAGGCCCTAGGGTATCACTATATTAGCTTCATATTACCCAACAAAATCAGCAGCACATTTCCAACAAACATATGAAACCAAACCCTTACCAAACATTAGGAAAATTTCCTGTAGGAATTAGTTCTTCTTGCATAGTATATACTGAAAGGAGCTTCAACAGAAGAGCCACCAAACACAAATGGGCTGTCAGATATGGACACAAAAACCATGTTCTACAAAATAACCACAGCATGTTAGGTAAGTACAAATGTTACACAAAACCACCTGTCCTTTTAAAGAATCATGTCAAAGCCTACTTTCAACCTCTCATTAAGACACTGGATGCAATTACCTTGCATGCCACAATCTTTTATCCCAGTGCCAGATTTATCTATACAGGAATTTGGGGTAAAGCTCTGCAGGCCTACCCAACTTTAGTAGATGTAACGTCCACATTATTTCACCTCGATAATTTACATCTATTTCATGAGTGTTGAACCCATAGGAATCATACAGCACCTTGCAGTATGGAAGGCAAAGTTCATCTTAGGAAAAGGAGAAAGGAGAAAGTTCTTTGAATCGAGAACCTTTCAGTGGCATCAAGGAACCTCTCATCTACCTGTTCATCTGCTAATGAGAATCCAGGTCTCAAATACAGAAACTTTCTACTGTTTGATTTTCCATCAATGTGAATTTTTTTTTTTTTTTCAACAAGTCGGCCGTCTCCCACCGAGGCAGGGTGAGATTACTTGATCATATATTAATGTGTATTGAAGAGAATTTCTAAATGGATGCATGTGTGATTCAATTGTGTCAATATATATTTGTACTACAAGGCACTGTTGATTTTTATGGTGTATAATACTCCTAGCCTTTGTATGTTCGTAATGTATGGATTTGTGTGTGTTTGGTATTAATACATATCTTGTGCACTGAGTAAATTTTAAATATGTATATATTGACATACTGTATATCCCAGCAGTAAATAACCTATTACAGTATATTTATACTTGCACACCAGCATACTTGCTTTTACACACCCTCACAATATATGATCTTTGCAGTTATAACTCCTCAATCAAAAAAGCACACTACCTTATATATCAATATTGTAATACCTCACACATGCACACAGTCTAAAGTACATGCAGATTTGCTACCAGTCCAGAATAAGACATTAACCTTTATGAACAAGCTTTAAGAACAACTTGCAATACAGGAAACAAAGAACAGCAGATAGGACACTGTATATATAGGCCAGGTGTATATAAACATTGCTCAAAGCTGAGATTTAGGGTAAGTGAAAGGGGTTTAAATGCAGACCTAAAAATAGCAAAACTACAGGCAATAAATGACCAAGGACAGTATGCAAGTGGACTGTCGTAGGGAAGGAGGAGGAACCAAATTCACACAAATTAATATGTTAAAGCAAGTCCACATGGGTAGGCCCTAACCTGAAGGGTATACACATCATCTAAGGAATGGAAGGTAGTCAGGTTTTATCTAATGAAGGGAAGGGGAGATCTAAGTCTGTGGATAAAGAGTCATTTGATAATAACCTTTCTTAAAAAAATGCTAAGGTAAGCCAATGACACTTAAGCTTGTTGATATAAGCTGAAATAAGAATATTTGTTGTACTGGTTTATTAAAAAAATAATTTAATATACCACTTAAACATGAATGAATTCATGTTGACTTTCAATCCTAATGATCAACTGCTGTACAATTCTGGCTTGTCCTGAAGATTCTGCAATAACAGGTCACCTGATAGAAGGGCTAAGCTTTCCAATCTTCGCCTCAAGAATTTCTGGATTGAGTTTTAATTTGTAAGCAGAGAAGCTGTACTTTCAAGATGCAGTCAAAAAAAGGAGGACCATCAGGGTATACTCTGCTTATATTGCCATATCTCTAGGCAAAGGACTGGCACTGTATTAATCCTTATGGGTATAGCACTCCATGATAATCTAGGGTAAGAAACACTACTCAGTAATGACAAAATGATTAATTCCAGCATCAGAATGCTTTTCAAGGCACATAAGATTCATCTGAATCCTACTTAAATGGATTTTGGTAAAAAGCAGGTTAATATAATTCATCCCACATCTGGCAGTGACATCATTTTGACCAGCTAGGTGGTGAAGCTGATATGCTCATCTTCCACATTTCAAAACTAAGCCCTACTGCACCAGGATGATATTCACTGAGACATGTAACAAAAATGCAGAATATTAAAAACTATACAATTAGCTTTAAATAAAAAATTAACTTTGGAAAGAATTGTATGGAGCAATGCTTACCTTGCTTATGAATACATGCCACTGCTAGACAATTGGCAATGTCAGACAGAAAACTGCATATTCACTTCATAAGCACATCAAGTTGCTCACTACAGGTCATAAATGAAGTCCACATGTTCTCTGACGAACGCAGCAAAATGTAAAGTAAAAGGACACAAGTGCAACTAATGTGACATTTATTGTGGCAATGTTTCGCTCTCCAGGAGCTTTATCAAGCCATGATGTAATGGCTTGATAAAGCTCCTGGAGAGCAAAACGTTGCCACAATAAATGTCACATTAGTTGCACTTGTGTCCTTTTACTTTACATATTGTCGGTAATTCTACCAACTTTATTGCAGCAAAATGTGTTGACTCTCAACTTCAGTCATCAGGATGGCACATTTCACAATATATTTAAGTATTTGGCAAATACTATACTATAACATCAAGAACTAGATGTACAAGTCATTACTGTGTGTGATAATACATGATACATATTTGCATTTTCATGCTGAATCATACCTTTAATGACTTGCAAGTTATTGTATATCTATTAAATGTTGTATACTGTATGCAATAACAGGTGTGGATCTGCATCAAATTTATGGGTGATGATGGTACTGGATAATCTCTACATTTTGATTCTAATAAGGTATATAACCACATACAGGGATTATTCATGTATCAAAAGAATGCATATATGTATTGTATATCATATCCATTGGAAGCTGATAGGTCATGTATGCAATAGATATATTCTCATAGTCTAGAAGGTGGCATATGTTTGAAAGTGTTCTTAGGTTCTCAAGTGCAGTATGTATTTTCTTTCTACAAAGGGGTATATAAAGTGTTTCTCCAAAGCTATATTTCCACTAATAAATATACTGAGTTTTAAATTATGTATTTTTTGTGAAGCTTATGTAATCATTTTTCAAGAAAAGTATAAAAATTGTTTTGTATAATTTTCCTTATTAGAAGAAATAAAATCTAATCTCTTCAAGGAATGCTGAAGGACACAATCTAAAAAACTGGAATAACTCTCCTGTTCCTTGGATAGAACTGGGTTTCTTCCTTATCCACTATAAGTTTAGCATTTTCTCTTGAATATAATTCTACATTTTACTGTACAGTACTGTACTTTGAGAATTAACATCACATTCTATACAGTACTGTACTATGAGAATTACCATCATCACATTATTACATTTAACAAAATAAGCAGCTGATACAATGGTTCCAAGGATTGTCCCCCTTAAAGTGTTTTATCAATAAAGTAAATCCATAATGGACAAAGAGTTGCTGACCAAGCATCTTTGGTGTTCAGAAACTACCAAGACATTCAAGTAAGATATCTCGGAGTTTTTCCCGCAGCTGGCCATTGCCTGATATGATGTGTGTAGAGGCATCACTGATCTTTATTATCACATCCTCATTTTCCTGCAAAGATAAACATAATTAAATACTGCCAAGTTTCTACACTGAAATCAACAATTTTATGAGCAAATAGAGGTTGGTACAAGTTTTATCAACCACATGAACCATAGAGATAAATGGTATAAAATACAGACACGATGAAGGAAGACAAATGCAGTATGTGATCCTCTATTGACTGTTTTGCCCACATAGTGGGCTTCTATTTGACTTGATAAAGCCCACTGTGTGGGCACAATGTAGTCAATAAAGGATGACATTATACTGGATTTGTGTCTATTCTTCCATCATCTGAACAATACCTGGAAACCCACAAATTCTTATCAAGCACAAACTCTACTGATAAATTACACACATGTGCAACTCTTGGGTATCTTTATTAAGGAAATGTTTTGCCACACAGTGACTTTATCAGTCCATACACAGGAGAAACTTGAGGTAATCAGTCCCTCAACCTTGAGTCAATGCGGTCAGTCCATCAATCTTGAATAGAATACGGCATAAGTGTGGAGAAGGAGCTTATAAACCATAGGCAGGAGAGGTGCAGCAGTCGTAGTCACATTTGTTCAATGTGGAAGTAGGTCGTGCCCAAGGGTTAGGCAAGCGAAGAATTCCCAAGTATTAAGATCCCAAGAGTTGCACATGTGTCTAATTTATCAACGTGTCGGTTCTGTGAACCATTCCTCTACAAAAAAACTCTACTGTCCAGGTTTCATTATATTTACAACTTAAATCTTTTTTATAATACAAGAGACAATATAAATGTTAAGCATGACAACACTTCAAATACTATACTGTACACTAGCAGCAGGTCTCAAAATTATAAACAAATTACATTATGTGCATTTCATGTTACAAGTGAGTTTGTACATAAAATAGTGCAATATACGGTTGTGTTACACACGTTTGTATTCACACTTATAAGTAACCCACATCTGAGTGTGGATTTATGTAAACTGGGGTGTTTAAGTTTGGACCTGCCTGTATTTAGTTACAAACCAGTGTTATGATGTATACTCCTGGCAGTTCTTCTACCCTAGCATCTGTTAAACCAGCCTGCGCCAAACGTTGAACCAGGTCATCTACATTCAAGTTGCCATAAGGATAGCATCGTGGCAATTTCTTCGAGGCTTCTTCATCACTATCTTCTAGAGGCTGAAAGGAATAATTCCATTAATTTGTCTTGGTAAAATCATGGCACTAATCACAACCCTCGAAGACATAACCTTCTATAACCATTTACTCATCATTAAATATTCTCAATTGTCGAGGATTGATTAAATAAAGCTGCCAGAAAAATATAACAGTACACTTTAAATGACTAATTATCTGGTAGTAAAGTGATTTTTTGGTTACACCATTTGAGTTATAGGCTAAGATCTGTTATCCTACCTCAGTTATTTGAAAGTGTAGTCCTAAGGTATACCACCACCCTTCTCAGGATGCCATCCGTTTTTTTTTTTTTTTAACACCAGCTGTCTTCTGAGATAGGGTGACTCAAAAAAGAAGAAACACTTTCACCATCACTCACCCCACCATTTTACCAAAGGGGCACCAATACTACGGTCGAAAACTGAAAATATCCCCACCCCTCATCAGAGCACAGATACTGCACTTTCCACCTTCGGTACTGAAGTCTGGCTAACTGGCTTCCCTGAACCCCCTTCATAAATGTTACTTTGCTCACACTCCAACAGCACATCAATCCATAAAAACCATTTTCCTCCATTTACTCCTATCTAGCATGCTCACACATGCTGTATATTTAAGCCCCTCACATGCAAAACCTCCTTTATCCCCCTCCCTCCAATCTTTCCTAGGATGACCATGACCCCCACCTTCCCTCCACTACATATTTATACCCTCCAAGTCATCCTGTTTTGTTCCATATCTCTACATGTCCAAACCACCTAAACCTCTCAACCCTCTGGATAATACTTTTACCGAGTCCACACCACCTCCTCCTAATCTCAAAGATACAAATTCTCTGCATGATATTCACACCATGCATTGCCCTCAGACACATCTCTACTGCCTCCAACCTTCTCCTATCTGCAACATTCATAACCCATGCCTCACACCCATACAAGTGTGTTGGTACAACTATACCTTCATTCATTCCCCTTTTTGCTTCCATGAATAACACTGTCTCTACAGATGCTTCAATGTGCCATCCACTTTTTCCCCCCCTCATAAATTTTATAGTTCACCTCATCTTTCATAGACCCATCTGCTGACATGTTCACCACCTTATCTGAACACCTTCACTTCCTCCATACTCTCTCCTCCTAATCTGACATCCAATCTTTCATTACCTAAATTGTTTGTTACCCCTCATCAACTTCTTTCCTGTGTTCATTTTTAATTTCCTCCCAAATTCATCCACCAATCTATGCAACTTCTGTTCAGAATCTCTGAAAAGCAAGGTCATCAAAAAGCAACTGTGACAACTCCCACTTTGTACCAGACTCTGCATAGGTGCTCCTCGACCTACAATGGAGTTACGTTCCAACAAACCCATTGTACGCTGAAAATATTGCAAGTCGATTATGAACATATGATTAAATAAACTACTGTTCCTGAATAAGTAAACAAGTAATTTTTTTTTTTTTAACAAACCGGCCATATCCCACCAAGGCAGGGTGGCCCAAAAAGAAAAACGAAAGTTTCTCTTTTTAAATTTAGTAATTTATACGGGAGAAGGGGTTACTAGCCCCTTGCTCCCGGCATTTTAGTCGCCTCTTACAACACGCATGGCTTACGGAGGAAGAATTCTGTTCCACTTCCCCATGGAGGTAAGAGGAAATAAACAAGAACAAGAACTAGAAAGAAAATAGAAGAAAACCCAGAGGGGTGTGTATATATATGCTTGTACATGTATGTGTAGTGTGACCTAAGTGTAAGTAGAAGTAGCAAGATGTACCTGAAATCTTGCATGTTTATGAGACAGAAAAAAGGACACCAGCAATCCTACCATCATTTAAAACAATTACAGGCTTTCGTTTTACACTCACTTGGCAGGACGGTAGTACCTCCTTGGGCAGTTGCTGTCTACCAACCTACTACCTAGAACAAGTAATTACTGTAACTAAATACCAGTACTGAAAAATAAATAAATAAATGCAACTTTATTGTATCGATAAATGTACAGTACTGTATAGTACAAATACTATACAGTACTATATGGCGATCCGTTAATATGGACATTTCAAATTATGACCAAGACTCTCTATATGACTCCACCCTACCACCTGACTTTCTAATACGGTAACCGCGCCCCACCCGGTTTGTTTACATTCTCCGTGAGCTCAGTAAGTACCACATCTCTCCGTTACGTCTGGAAACTCCAAAATTTCAAGTGTTTTTAACCCTTTGACTGTCGCGGCCGTATATATACGTCTTACGAGGTACCGTGTTTGACGTATACTCAAATTCAAGCGGCTTCAAATCAAGCATGAGAAAGCTGGTAGGCCCACATGTGGGAGAATGGGTCTGTGTGATCAGTGTGCACCATATAAAAAAAATCCTGGGGCACGCAGTGCATAATGAGAAAAAAAAAACTGACCGTTTTTTTTAATTAAAATGCCGACTTTGTGGTCTATTTTCGTATAGTATTTATGGTTGTATTCTCGTTTTCTTGGTCTCATTTGATAGAATGGGAAACATATTATAGAAATAGAGGTGATTTTGATTGATTTTACTATAAAAAGAACCTAGAAATGGAGCTCAAAGTAGGGGAAATGTTTGATTTTTGCCAATGTTCAAAAGTAAACAAATGATGCCATTGTCCAATAAATGTCCAACTAGCTATTCTAATATGCAGTCATGAATGGGTTGATGTTATTTATACAATTATTACAGTATTGCAGTAGTCTGCATAATAGTAAGTCTTCTATTTTTTGTTTGAATAAAAATTCAAAATAGAAAGCAAGAGTAATATCAGAGGGGCCTGGAGACATGACTGATGAGCAAAGAAAATGTTATTTTAGAGCCAGGAATGTCTGCATTGTTCATTCTGGACCTTATTTTGAAATTGTCATTTTTTAGTTTTTGTGAAATTGGCCAAATTGCAAATTTCTGACCACATTATTAGGTAGTTGAAATCGGTAAATGGGCAGTTTCTTGTACTCAATCGATAGAAAAAATGGAGTTCTAAAGAAATAGCTATGAGTTTGGGCGACTGGAAAAATGGAATTAGCTGAAAATAGGGCTGTTTACAAATCGCCGATTTGTAAACAGCGCCGAGGTCGCTAACTTCGCAAGAGCATAATTCCGTCAGTTTTCCATCAAATTTCGTTTTTTTTTTTTGGTGTCATTACAATCGGGAAAAGATTCTGTATCATTTCATAAGAAAAAATAATTTTTTTTTTTTTTAAATTTTGCGACACCAGGAGACACCTCAGGATTGGGGGTTGCGACAATCAAAGGGTTAAAAGTTATTTCATATTTTATATATTTTATATATTTATATTTATATATTTTATATATTTTATGGGGAAGTGGAATAAGAATCCTTCCTCCGTAAGCCATGCGTGTTGTAAAAGTCAACTAAAATGCCGGGAACAATGGGCTAGTAACCCCTTTTCCTGTAAAGATTACTAAAAAGAATAAGAAGAAGAAAATTGTCAAAGTGGGAAGTCTGAATGTGAGTGGATGTTGTGCAGATAAGAAAGAGATGATTGTGGATGTTATGAATGAGAAGAAGCTGGATGTCCTGGCTTTAAGTGAAACAAAGCTGAAGGGGGTGGGAGAGTTTCAGTGGAGAGGAAAAAATGAGATTAGGTCAGGGGTTTCAAATAGAGTTAGAGCTAAAGAAGGAGTAGCAATAATGTTGAAGGATAAGCTATGGCAGGAAAAGAGGGACTATAAATGTATTAATTCAAGGATTAGTGGAGTAAAATAAAGATTGGATGTGAAAAGTGGGTTATAATAAGCGTGTATGCCCTGGAGAAGAGAGAAGTGTAGAGGAGAGAGAGAGATTTTGGGAAATGTTGAGTGAATGCGTGGGGAGTTTTGAATCAAGTGTGAGAGTAATGGTGGTTGGGGATTTCAATGCTAAAGTGGGTAAAAATGTTATGGAGGGAGTAGTAGGTAAATTTGGGGTGCCAGGGGTAAATGTAAATGGGGAGCCTTTAATTGAGCTATGTGTAGAAAGAGATTTGGTAATAAGTAATACATATTTTATGAAAAAGAGGATAAATAAATATACAAGGTATGATGTAGCACGTAATGAAAGTAGTTTATTAGATTATGTATTGTTGGATAAAAGGTTGATGGGTAGGCTCCAGGATGTACATGTTTATAGAGGGGCAACTGATATATATCGGATCATTATTTAGTTGTAGCTACAGTTAGAGTAAGAGGTAGATGGGAAAAGAGGAAGGTGGAAACAACAAGTAAGAGGGAGGTGAAAGTGTATAAACTAAGGGAGGAGGAAGTTCGGGTGAGATATAAGCGACTATTGGCAGAAAGGTGGGCTAGTGCAAAGATGAGTAGTGGGGGGTTGAAGAGGGTTGGAATAGTTTTAAAAATGCAGTATTAGAATGTGGGGCAGAAGTTTGTGGTTATAGGAGGGTGGGGGCAGGAGGAAAGAGGAGTGATAGGTGGAATGATGAAGTAAAGGGTGTGATAAAAGAGAAAAAGGTAGCTTATGAGAGGTTTTTACAAAGCAGAAGTGTTATAAGAAGAGCAGAGTATATGGAGAGTAAAAGAAAGGTAAAGAGAGTGGTGAGAGAGTGCAAAAGGAGAGCAGATGATCGAGTGGGAGAGGCACTGTCAAGAAATTTTAATGAAAATAAGAACAAATTTTGGAGTTAAACAAGTTAAGAAAGCCTAGGGAAAGTATGGATTTGTCAGTTAAAAACAGAGTAGGGGAGTTAGTAGATGGGGAGATGGAGGTATTAGGTAGATGGCGAGAATATTTTGAAGAACTTTTAAATGTTAAGGAAGAAAGAGAGGCAGTAATTTCATGCACTGGTCAGGGAGGTATACCATCTTTTAGGAGTGAAGAAGAGCAGAATGTAAGTGTGGGGGAGGTACGTGAGGCATTACGTAGAAAGGGGGTAAAGCAGCTGGAACTGATGGGATCATGACAGAAATGTTAAAAGCAGGGGGGGATATGGTGTTGGAGTGGTTGGTACTTTTGTTTAATAAAT